GGCAAATATTTAATATGCTCGGTTACTAACTGAAAAGGTGGAGGTTCACATCTACTCAGAAGGAAGAGCTAGTGATCCACTTCCAGAAAGCAGCTGTTGAATTCCCTGTGGAATGCTGTTCTACTCCGATACCCATGGGCTTACCCGAGTCGGAGCTGATCTTTCCCCTGTGGGCTGTGGTTTGGAAGCAGATCATGCCCTTTCTTCTACCATATGGTTGCCAGGCAATTGCTTCCATCTGGGTGCCTGAGCACAGGAGATGGGGTTGCTTTCTGTGGCCCTGCTTGGTCAAGCCTAACCCCAGGCGTTGGGGCTGGGTAGAGACGTGAACAAAACTGGGTTCTGTTAGGAGGGATGGAGAGGGCGTGGCACTGGACAGGCTGCCCATAAAGTCTATCAGACAGATCCGCATGTGAGAAAGCAGCGTGGTTTTAATAACTGTTATGGTAATCCTAATATTCTCAATACCATTGTCACAACAGATTGGTTATGAGAAGATCTTAAAGATTAATTCATTGTATTATTTGTATGTTTCAGAAAATGTTAGCAAACTCAAGAAACTTGAATATTTGAATTTAGCTTTAAACAACATTGAAAAAATTGAAAATTTGGAAGGTAAGAATTGTCTTCTTATATTTTATTATATATTAAAATTAGGATTTAAAATTTCCGTAGTGATACTGCCTCGGAAACCCAAGGAGGGGTTGCTATGAGTCAGGCCGACTCGATGGCACATAACAACAACAACAACAACAACAGTATTGCTTACGCTATAGGTATACTTTTCAGATAAACATATGTATGTCTTACACTGATTAATTTTTATTTCATTCTGATTGTAAAAATTCAAACAATAAAGAGATACATAGATTCGAAAGCTGAAGTCTGCTGCATGCTTTCATAACCCTGCCTCTTCTGCCTCTTCTCCAGGGGTAGTCAGTGTTTCCACTTGAGGTGCAGGTGACGGTGGTTCTGTCTCGTTTTGCCTTGGATCAGCGGGACCATGCTGTGGAGGACTGTTACGAACGCTAATGTCTTCTCTGAAGAAACACGTCTCGGAGACCTTTTCCATGTTAACCTATTTTGTCTGCTTTGTTCTTCTGATTTTCAGGAGTAGGGGCCAGG